TCTCTCTCTCTCTCTCTGTCTCTCTCTGTCTCTCTCTCTGTCTCTCTCTGTCTCTCTCTCTGTCTCTCTTGTTGAGAGCGACGCCGCTGTATTGTAATAACAAGTGTGTTAGTGTGATTGAGTACACGTACACACACTCGGTAGAACCATACTCTGTAGTCAGTCGTATTGAATAAACCCTCCAAGGCAGACGTGCCGATTGACGTTTATCCAATCGGTATTACTTTCATTTACACTCATTACCTCGTACCACTCGCTCAACCTTATTAACTGCGCTTAATCATTAACAGGTTATGGGCCACTCGCTTCATTCAAAATTTTTTTGATTAAATCTAAAGGCAGTGCAAGGTTAGATAAGTGGGTTAATAAATAGAGGTACAAGAACATTAATTACTTTTCAAAACTCAAATCACATAAAAATGGGGGACGAAAATTCATCACACAAGGGGACTTATGGAATGAAGAAGCTCAACGGTGATAAATATTCCACGTGGTGCTTCAAAATTCGACTACTTATGGATGGAGAAGATGTCCTTGAAGCAATCACAACCACTGCCGCGACAAACGAGAGTGAACGTGCAGAATGGAGTAAGAAAGATCGCCGAGCGAAACAACTCATCGGCTTACTCGTCGAGGACAATCAAACGAAGAAAATAAGGAAACTGAAAACTGCAAAGGAAATGTGGGACACACTAGAGGAGTATTATGGTAAGGCAAACACTGCCAACTGTCTCATTGTCTTCAAAGAGGTCTGTAAAATAGAAATGCCAGAAGGAGGTAATCTGGAAGACCATCTAGAAGAAATGCAAGAGAAAATTGATAAATTAATAGACTACGGTCACGAATTTACAGACAGAATAATAAATTCTTTCATTCTGATGAGCCTCCCGGACTCCTACGAAGCCATTGCAAACAGCCTTGAACAAAGAGTTGAAGACCAGAACGTGGCACCCTCAGTAGTGAAAAACAAACTCATCAGTGAATACCGTAAGAGATTAGGCCGCCTGACAACAGAGTCGCCTGACTCAGCTTTACGCGTAGCAAAACAAACCGACGAGTGTTACTACTGCCACAGAAAAGGACATAACATAAAACAGTGTCGAAAATATCGTCAACTCAAGGCAAAAGGGGAGAGACGCACGGATACCCGACCAATGGCAGCAATAGAAAACAACACAAGTGAGAGCGATGATGACAACTGGGAACACGCAGTGGCCTACAGTACTTACCTAAATAAACACACACCGAGAAACTCATCGGTATGGTTCCTTGATTCTGCCGCCACAAACCACATGACAAACGACATCGAATTCTTCACAGAATTGGATAAATCGTACAAATCTGTTGTGCGTGTCGCCAACCAAGGGGTCAGTGCGATCTGCGGAATTGGCAGAGGAAAGGTAGAATGTATCACCACTGCTGGTAAGCAAGAAACACTAAATCTGTCAAATGTTCTATTCGTGCCAGAATTTGAATCAGGACTCATCTCGATAACAGTCCTTGATAAACAAGGATATAATATTACTATTCAAGGGGGAAAAATGACAATAAATAAAAATGATAAAGAGGTAGCAGTAGCAGACTGTAAACGACGCATGTACAAGCTGAGAACGACAGAGTCCGCATGTCAAGTTTCATCAGGACACACTGACTCTTGTATTCACATTTGGCACGACAGATTTGCCCACCGAAACCCAAATTCAATAAAGAAATTGCTCAGCAACAATTTGGTGACAGGAATAAAAATCAACGAATGTCAAATAAAAACGACATGTGAGAGCTGCATTGAGGGGAAGCATGCCAGGATTCCGTTCCCGAAAGAGGCTGAACGAAAAACCACAAAACCCCTGGAGCTGATCCACACGGATCTTTGTGGACCGATGCCAGTGATGACACCCGGAGGAAGGAGGTACATCATCACAATCATCGACGACTACAGCAGGTACGCACATATTCATCTTTTAAAACAAAAATCACAAACAGTTGATGTGATCAAAGATTTCGTACGTCTCTGCAAAACCCAACATAACCAGACACCAAAAATCATCAGGTCAGACCGCGGGGGAGAATACATGAGCCACGAACTTAAAAACTATCTACAAAAGAACGGGATACAGGTACAATGGACAGCTCCATACACGCCCGAACAAAATGGTGTGGCCGAGAGGAGGAACCGGACATTGGTGGAAGCAGTACGTACTATGCTCATCGACGCTAAGCTACCGAACACTTACTGGGGAGAAGCAGCCGTAACTGCTAACTATTTGCAGAACATGCTGCCCACGAAAGCAGTCAGCCAAACTCCTTACGAACTGTTCTACGATAGAAAACCAGATGTAAGCCACCTCAGAGCTTTTGGATGCAGAGCATACGCCCACATCCCTAAACAAAACAGAAGAAAACTGGACAAGAAGGCAAAAGAGTGCATTTTGATAGGCTACTCCAAAGAATCAAAAGCCTACAGACTACTAGACAGATCATCTGGAAAAATAATAATCATCAACAGAGACGT